TTCACGGTATGGATAATTGGCTAGGCCTGTCCAGAAGTAGGCTACGAATTTCTAATCATATTATCTACATTGTATATTTAAGACATGTCTTCCCTTCTTATTGTTATTCTGTTTTCACTTAAATCAGCTGAATGCGATGTTTACTTATTACTTATGTTTAGGCCTACATTTCAGCCATCTTATTTTGTTGTTCAATAAGTAAGTCTTTTTGAATTTTTTACATTTTTACACATTGAAATATATAATTGATAATTCAGTTCATTTTAGTCTTTTAAAGGTGTGTTACATTTGAGTCTCACGTTAAAATAGCCCTAAGCTTTTCGTAGGCCTATGTTTTATCTTTGACTATCAATACAACTTACAGACATTCCATCCCCATGTTGAATTTGTAGCAAGCCTTTTTCATCAAAATCTGCTGTATCCAATGGCCATTATTAAGAACAATATTAAAAATGCTGTCTCTAAATCGTCCTAATAATGGTAGAAGGCGTACATTCTAGTTACATTACAATAATATCCTCCATCATATCAAGAATACTTGGTATTACCAATCATAAATTATTTCCAGCAAAGAACGCTGAGCTTAACCGATTGCAAGGGTTGAAATGAAGACCAATGTTTATGTTGCACAGTTGAATTTAAATGTCAAATTTCCCCTCCTGTTGTTATACTTTAATACTAGTTTTTTTTAATAATTACGTTTTTTTTTATACTTCAATACTTTAACCGATTGTAAGGGTGAAAAATGAAGCCCAATGTTTATGTTGTGGGCTACAGTTAAATTTGGATGTTAAATTTCCGTTCTCTTTTTTATACTTTAATGCCCTTTTTGGATGTTAATATCAGATTCCAACTACTGTAATATTTTCCTGGTCAAAACTACCATAATGCACTTCTGGAAGAGGTATCTGAATAACAAGATGTAGTAAAACAAATTTGAATTATTATAATTTTAACCAATAAAACCAGCATTAGTACATCTATTGAGTTTTTACATTTAGTTACTTATACAAATATCAAATCACGTTTTTCCGCTCAACTGGCTTTCACCTCTCTGAAAGCAACCCTAGTAATAATATGTATTTTAATTTAAGTACCGTACTTTAATTGATTCGGTTATATTTTTACCTCATATAAAATTTGAACATGGATTGAAACATTAGATGTCTTTGGAATACTCTGAGAGTGAGAACCAAAACATAACTTTCAGCAATGCTGTATCGAAATTTACCTCTTTCTTGCCTATTAAATAAAAATTCTAAATTAATAACAGAAAATAAATTGCTTTTATATAAAACCATTCTAAACCCAGTGTGGACGTACGGTATCCAACTGTGGGTGACATCCAGTGAATCCAATTTGAACATCATCCAAAGATTCCAATCTAAAGTTCTTAGACACATTCTTCAGGCACCATGGTTCGTTAACAACGAAGTGCTCCATAGAGACAGTCGAACCCCAACGATCAAAGAAGAAATTTCAAGGTTAAGTGCCAAATACTTAAAGAAATTAGAGTACCATACCAACTACCTCGCTTTGAATTTGTTGAACAACAGCAACTGTATATATAGATTGAAAAGATGCCATGTTTTGGACCTAAGTAGTCGTTTTTAGAGATTTATGGACTTTAAACTTTGTGCCAATATGCAAAGTTTGTTTGTTAGCTTTATTGTTGGATAAGGACTAAATACTGTGTTTAAATTTTATCACATTTGCTTATTGTTCTATTTTTTTTTTAACAGATTGTAAATTAAATAAAATGATAAAAAAATAATAATAATTACCTCTACTGAGTGATTCAGAAATGTAATTGTAAAATTTTTGTCAACATGACTAGAATGTTAATAAAACAGATGTCAGCACGAAATAGTTTGTAAGAAAAAAAATTGCAGCATAGGACAACTTATATAGTGTTCTAACCTAAAACATTGTTATTGTTTCAATGTAAAAATTCAATTGATACAAAGTAACTACGGTACGTTACCAATTTATGTTTGTAAACAAAAATACATTTTTTAATGGTGGCATAAAAACAATTTAAATAATTATTTACAACACAAATTATTTTTAATATAAAACATTGTTCACCACTCGGAGCAAAAGTATGTTATTTATGGTACTTAAATTGTTTTATAGTACGTGGCAGTACAGTATTATTAGTTTATTAGTTGCTTGTTGCACTGTTCTACACACTGCTCAAGCGCTACAACTCATTAAGTGGCATCCTGTACACACACTGTTGATATATACTGAATTGTGGCATGGTGCCACTATTTAGAGTGTAAGCTGGCGCGAGAATTGGCAACGTAGCATTAGGAAAGTTATAGTTCCGGCAGACGGCGCGAGGCGCGCTAGCTACCTGTATGGTTTCGTGTTCCACAATTCGGCGTGTACCTGCGCTACTTAAACTCCCATCAACGAGTTCAAAAATACTCAATTGTGGCATGTGATTTTTAAACGACGTAATAATGCTGGAAAACCTAAAAAATGATCGAATTAGCTGTGGCACCCTGAAAAAGGTGCCACAATTTTTGAAGGTGCCACAGTACGGCCGTGTGCCTGTGAAGGATGCCACTATTCGGTGAATACAGACACACACAAAACACTCAGCAAACACAGAGGTTAAAAATGTATTTACAAAAAAATTGAGTCATTTAAATATGGAAGGAAACAATGAGAAAGGATATGCGGAAAATTTGTTAGATGCAGTTTCAACCGGCAATTTAAGAACCAGGACACCATTAACTATACTAAGGTTAAATTTTTTGTATTGTGTTTGAGCAGTTATCACTAAACTAAAGCATTTTAGTTTCTGTTCACACAGGTAATTCAGATAAACATAATTAAAAAAAATTATTCTATGACAGTTGAGAGGCTGAATGAATAAAATGAAATTGAAGCTTCTACAGGGTGAGGCAGTGAAACGGCACGATTTTGAAAAATCACAAATAATTCTGTTTGAAAAGAAGGATAGTTGTATTCACATAAATCCTAAGTACAAGAGTGGAAATTAATGTTTCACTTTAAAAATAATTACATTTTTTAATACAGTGACAGTAAAATGGTGTATTTGGTTTTGCACACATCGATTTTGCGAGATCGACCGAACTCGCAATGGAAAGTGCGCTAAACACAAACCATAATATCCACGTTTTTGTAATACGCTTTTACAGCAAACGTGTGCTGTGCACTCGTGCAACGCTCCATCGCTACTGAAATTTCCACTTGTCTAGACGCTTATGGTCATTTTCCCCGTACTCTAATAGCCCCCAATTCCTTGTCACCTGGTATCGGAATCGTGCCGTTTCACTGCCTCACCCTGTATTTTCTTCGTACTCTTAATTTAATTTGATCCTCTATATAAATTATGTGATGTTTTATGTTTTATTCTTTTCTCTTTTTTTTTACAAATAGTGTAGACTTTTCAAGGCCGAGGTGCTTCTGAAGAGCGTAAAGTAGTGTGAATCATCTGATTACTCTACAAACACAAAACTAGTCCATCTACAAAATCGGCAGAAATACCCGCTTCTACAAACATTACGTGATTATATTCGTTCCATGTTCAGGAGGGGGTTAAAGCTCTAAGAAAATAGGTCACTGGGTTCAAACTACCGGGTTTAACGATTGACACTACAAAATTGGAATTAAAAATAAATGCATGCAACAAAAAAGAGAAAAGTTATCATGAAGGCGATGAAGGTCTATTATTGACAACGGCGAGTGTTATAGTGAACATGCATCTTGAGTGTGGATTGTGTGGTGGCTTGCTAATTTGTTCCAATATTCAAATGAATAAGCTAAACTGCAAATCAGAAACCTAAAAATAACAGCTGCTTATTTGTGTAGTACACCAATTTTGAAACAACTTTCAAGTGAAATAAATAGTTAAATAGCTAGTCAGATTGTATTACGAATCTAAGTGACGAAGTGTTTTAAAACTGACAGTGGAGAAATATGTTTAACTCAATGTAATGTAATTGTGTTGATCGCTTACAAAACAAGGAAAGTGATTGAAGTGTTTTACAATATTGAAAAAGGTGATAAAAAAATAAAAAATAAACATTTTTGTGACCTTATTTACATTTGAACACAGTATGCAATAAATTTGATTTCAGGTGGGGTTGGAATATTGTCTTCCATTATTATTACAACATCTCATATATCTATCTATATATTAATCTATATATTAATTTCGTAAGCCGATTCTTTGCGTCAAAATTTTGGGCGACTGGGACGTCGTAGAATGACGGGAGAGGGCTCAAATTAAAGGTCTCAATCCCGTGACGGCGGGAAAAATAGTGAAATTCCCCAAATTTTAACATCAAATTAGATATAACGTAAAATGTTCTCCATAAGAATAGCAATAGAAGCCATTTGCTGCTTTTTGTTTATTTTTGTTGTCAATACAGCTGATCATGATTTATCATCAAGCCAGTAAGCAATATTACATTTGGATTAAACTCATTTTCCAGTAAATTCTGCAATGTACGGTATACTATATAAATTTAACCAGGGATAACGTCTTAGAATGTTGAAATAAATTTTTTATTGTACATGTTGAAAATTTGTGTGTTTAATAATTGCATATTTTGTTTTACATTTTTATCTTTTTAGGGACTTATGTAAGTCCCCCCTACATGTCCCTAGTATAGTTTAAAATCGGATAATAAAATACTCCTGACTAAAAATAATAATTACCTATACCAAGTAAAAGGTTAAAACATGAGGAGTTATGTCAGGCAAACCTAGTTAGATTAGAAAACACTAAGGTTGTTTCAAAACCAAAAGAAATGGGCTATTTCAGAAGTCATTCAACCCAAAAAACCAACCAATAGAATCCAAATTACTACAGAGATAACTGATTCAGAAGTTCATGAATAATCACACTCTGAAATCAAACTTAGTTCCAAACGAGTCAAAAACACCAAAGACCAAATGATTCGTGACAATGTGCTGAACACTGAGCAAGCCACACACATACAGTAATATTGTGGACATACAGTCAAGTTAACCTTGGTAAGGGCTTCCTGGTACTCGTTGCGTTCCCTCAAAGCGATGTCCCACTGTCGTATAGCTGCTGTACACTGCTGCTTCAGTCCGTTACGTTCTCTGATGGCTACGTTGCGCTCTTGTATCATCTCCTCACACTTCTTCTTCATCCTACCCATCTCCTCCTACATAACATTGACAATTTTAAACCTGCGTTTAGTTTTAGGAGGAAAAACCACTTGGCTAAGAACTACGAAGAGGGTATGGGTTTACAAGTAACTTGAACAACAAAAATGTTTCAGGGAGTTAAAAGCACACAAAAAGATCACACAACTACAATGTTGATATTTTGTCCTTAAAAGTGCCTTCTTCAGAAGAAAGAAGTATAATGGCAGTAATTATTATAATATTATTACTAATTGGCAATGTTTGAACTAACCAAATCAGTCTGGAAACACATTACTTTTTAATCAACCACTTAAAAAAAGCAAGTTAGTAGTTGTGTATCCATTCCTTCCGCCTAAATATAAACCCCTAAATGAGTCCCTTGTGATTGTGTTTTTTGACAAATAATGACAAAACATACCTGGCCAGACAAACAAAGTAAAATAAACCAAACACATAAAACGATGAGAACAAATTAGGAGTAACAATTTTTATTTCCAAAACATCAGTTTCAGAGATTGGCACCTGCTGACACATTTTAATGCGGTTAATGGACTCCTTTAGGGAAAAAAATTTCGAACGAAATATATTTAATATTTAAGAGCTGCAATCTCGATTCTGTACATATTTGAATTGTACATAGTTAGTAATTAAAGTAAAAATCTACAGTATATAAAAAAATCTAGCCAAAGAGACAGAAGGTTAATTTACAACGTAAATTGCATCTTTGAATTTAATAATGAGTTTTCTAGTGTGAATGCAGAACATAAAATACAACAAAACATAACAAGACCATTAATTTTACAAAGCCCAAACAATTAATTAGCTGGAGATTGTCACAGAAAAGAAAGTATTTGGCAATTTTAATGGTAAATGGTACAGTGGCAACTCAAGTGGTTAAATACTTTTTTCTGGGTTTAGCGATACCCCCGACCAACCTCTTCACAACAAAACATTTCAAAGTAGCTAAGCTAAATAACATTGCAGACCTGAGCCAGCTCTAGTTTGTCCACAGTAGATGAGTGAGATGTTATGAGGTCGTCGTAGCGTTTCCGCAGCGAGTCGTACTCCTCCTTGACTGCCTCGTACTTGCTTCTCATCGTCATAAAGTGTTGGTTGATGGTGTCAGTGTTTCCAGCCTCCGCCAAGTTGCCATCCTGTAGGGTAATCACAAGTTTATCAAGTTGTCAACTGCTATGTTTTTAACAGGATACAACTCCAAAAATTTTTAAGGTGAATGATGAACTTGGGGCACCAGGACCTATGATTTTTACGCAGTTTGTTGTTAGCTTACATTCAGTCGTACAAGGTTACGATAAACAAATATCTCCATTAGATATTAATAGTTTAATATAACTTGTAGTTAATTTTTTTGTGTTGTTTCTGGACCAGTTTTTGACAAATAAAACGTTAAATTACCTGTTGTCGCCTTGTGAGCCAAGTTTTGACCTTAAGAATTATACAAATTTTGGTTCTTCAGTTGTCATATCGTCGTACATTTATCTTGCCTCAAGAGGTAAAAGTAAATGAATTAAATGAAAAAAAAAATCTTTATTTTACCAGGCTAGACATCTAACCCATAAGAACAATACTTGGACCATATGGTGGCAAAAAGAAATTTAACTTATGGTACCTGGTGGTGAGCCCTCATATCCGACAGTTCTCTCTCCAGCCGCTGCTTGTCTGTAGCCAGGTCTGCGTACTTGTTGCGCAGAGTGGATGTCTCCGCAGCCGCAGCCTCCAACTGTGTCATTGCTGCGTGGTGTTGTCCTCTGTAGTACTCCAGGTCCTTCATGGTGTGTTCACATCTGCGCACTGTCTCACTGTGCTGTCTGAACAGTCGACAAAATAAGTTAATACTATGTTAGCAGCTAAAAACCAAAGGGAAATTTAGTTAAATGTAAGTTAACATTTTTTTAGGGTGGGGGGGGGGGGTGTGATTAGGTCTTACCATGAACAGCTGTTTATACAATTTTTTTCAATATTTATTGGTTATCTAAAAGCCACTATCACAATTTTCTTGTACCTTACCATAATTTTGAAAAATAGTTGGTGTGCATAATATTTACCTCCTGAGCAGTTGCAGTTCACTGGTAGTTTTCTCACATTGTTGTTTCATAGTGTCGTAATCTCTGTCCCGTCCTCGCTCACCCGACCCTCCTCCGTACGAGCGGGACATGGTGTCTGTCAACACATGAACGTTACACAACGTACAAGGAATGTTTAAAAAGTAGGCCTAACTAATTTTTTAGTATAGCCTGTCTTTTAATGAAAATAACGCTGTCATCTTTACGGTTTTTAATTTGATGGGGGGAAAATACTGACAGCCTCTAAAATTGTTGTATCCATCTCAGGGATCACACTCTTAATGTTCTTAAGTCCGAGACGAACAGTTCGGGGCTAGAGCCTTATGTCTTGGGACGTTCTTTTATTAGGTATCAGGGCCTATGTTATGATAAGTTATGATTTTAGTTAGTACTGTATATTTGACCCGACTAATGCAATTTTGTCAATCTAACCAAATAAACGACTTATAGACTTATTGATGTGTAAGTGGGACATAAAAAAACCCGTGTGGAATTCATGGTTAGAGACAAACCCTTTACTCTGTCTCAGTTAGTGCCGTTGGTCGGGTTAAGTGTTGTAGGCCTACAAGTTTTTAAATGTTTTATTTGTTAATTTATTTTGCTTGTCACAATGCACATAGCCTATTTTTGTATTTGAAATATACATCTTGACGAATCCCATTTGGATCAAATGTTTCTGTTCTACTTGTGAATGCCATGTTTGGCTAAACATATGTAGTGGATTTCAAACAAACACTATATTTAAACTGCAAGACGAGGTACGTAATAGTTTAGTCTTTACCACGCAGTTCAGGGGATTTAATTGAACCCTTTACGTTCAATGCACTGAAAGGCTCGTTACGTCTTTTGTGTCCGAAGCATACGTGAAACCAACCCATGTTATCAAATCAGAGCTTACACACTGCTCGGACACCCGAGACACACAAATGCATGTGTGTAAATATTTTTGTAAAAATATAGACTATAAATTCAAGAAGACCCCATAAAATTCTACAAAAGATAGAGAACTGCACAAATTCCTTATCTACAAGGACAACAACAAAGATCAATTAATTAATAAATTATGGAAAACTGAACTACATTTGGATTCTTATATTCTGAAGATATTACTTTTTAATCCTAATTTCAAACAGTTTCATTTGGAAGAGATAACCACCTATACAAGACTCACCATTGTTGATACTACCGTCCATGGAACTATTTCCCGAAGCCATTTTGTGATGTTTACTTTAATTCCATTAGCACTGATTACCTGCAACAAAACAAAAGTACCAAAATGGTTAAATACAAGTCAATCCAAGAGGTAGAGGTATATAAGCACAAATGGGCCTTATAAATATTGTAAATTGTAACACACCAATCTAAAACGATGGGGAAGGAAAAGTAATACTAGTTAATTGGCTAGTTAGTCAGGTTTCCATGAAACTTGTTGCAATGGAATAGGGAAACAGGATATATTAATTAAATATATACCATAGAATTACAGAACTAAAAGGTATGACTGAAACAAAAGTAGTCATGAAACCAATTAGACAAACCAAGTTCATGAAATATTTTAAATTTAGCGAATTTTCCATTTAGGGAATATGCTAACTGTAGTACTCATGGTAAGACCTGGACACGGGACCGATTTACCTTTTCGTTATGAGGTCCCTAGAGGCCAAAAACACCATCCGTTCAAATTCATATATATATATATATACATATATGTGTCCGTTAGCCCGATAACTCAAGCAAAAATGATCCGATTTTGATGAAATTTGGTATAAATCTGTAATCCTGCATTTATTTGAAAGAGTTCGCTAACCAGTATGATGAAATATGGGAACAGGGTTTAGGGGTGGTTTTATGAGGTAAAATTAGTTTTTCCCATTTTTCACCCAAAAAACATAAAACCTAGCAATGTCTTCCAAAACCATTTTGTAGAGCTTAAAAAAACAAATAATTTAGTATATTGAAGCGTTATTATGCGCCTAATGGTTACAGAGAAAATTAAAAGGCATTTATTTCTTACTAAACTAATAACATTAAAAAAACACAATCTTTCACCCTCCCTGTTGCAGCACACCTAAGTACTCGTTAAACTAATTCAATTTAAATAGGGAATAAATGTGATATTTTTAAGGAGACATTTTAGTGTAAATCCAATCAGGTATCAGGTAAAATGGAAATTCACTTCCTCTGCAGGTTTGCTGCGACGGGGGTATTTATAATTTTTATGTGTTGTGTCCAAACATGCTCAACTTTGAGGGATATTGAAGCTTGATGATTTGGACCTGATGAAGTACTTTGTACTAAACTACTGTAGTTGGTCACCCTAACTACAAACTATTGTTTGACAGTAGCACAGGCACTATAAATCTTTGCTTCATTTAAAGATCCAGAGGCTATTCTATGAAAGTAATAAATGCAGTGAAATAATTGACCAAATTTATATGTCAAAAATCAATTATATCAATTATCTAAGATGGGGATGCCACTATGTGCGTATTTTAACCCAAATATGAGTGAAGGATGAGTGTAGGATGAGTGGTGCAATCTTGTAGTCTTGTTAGTAGCTAAGGCCGACATATTCCTTAGACACATAAATATTTAGACTCTCTGCCTACATTATTTCTCAATTTATCTTTGGGGATACCAACAGGTTTACTGGATACATAATGAAATCAAATTACTTAAATGTTTGAATATTTAAATTGTAGCGTACCTATTGGTAAAAGTAGGTTTGACTTTATTTGTGTTGTAAAGAATTAAGCTTCCTAAATTGAATACAGTTTTTAATTTTATTTTAGACATATTAATCTGTTGTGTTGCTAAATACAAGTATTAATAAGGTGGTATCAAGAAAAAGTTACTTTTTCAGTCACAACAGAACTTAACAAAAAACAATAAATACAAAAATGTTAAGTAATTTCGTTTAAAAACCTCTGTCCCAACTCCATAGAAAACTGGGTTCGTCAAAGAAAAAAGATACTTAGACTTGAGTAATAACTACAACCAATGATCACAAATTTGTTCTTCAAACAAAACTTGTAATGTCAAATCCAGAAAACTATATCAAAGCAACAACTGTAAGACTATGAATTGGCTCATCTAACAAAACACGTTAAAGAAAGCGTAAATATAAATCTTCCATAGGAAAAAAAAAAACTAAACCCTGAGGATTAAGAGTTGGGTTTTCTTACAAAAGCTATGCCAAATAAAAGAAACATAAAACCATCAGACACATAACTAAAAAGTATTGATTAAGAATAAGCTCCAGAAAACGTGTTTCAACTAAAAATAAAGGTATACAAAACATTTTAGGGCAATAATTGAAACAACAGACTAATATGAGTTGGCTTTAGCTGTAGCACAACAACTTTCACCTTGATTTTCAGGCAACTCTGTGATGTTGCAAACAGAACCAACCAGAGCATGACAATCACTGGCCTGAGCAAGGAAAACCTATGTTACAACCACACACTCTAGCCGGCCAATACTGTACAGACTACACTGGTCTACGCACAGGGGTTCAAGTGTTTAAATGAAAGATATTTATAATACCCCGCCACAGCAAACCTGCAAAGTGAATTTCCATTTGCCTTGATTGGATTTTTACTCACATATTTCCTTAAACATGTCAGATTTATTCCCAATAAAAAAAGAAACATTAGATTTAACGAGAACCTACATAGGTTTGCTGATACAGTGAAGGAAAATTTGATTGGCAAAATTTAAAAACCTATTGATAAATTTGATAAAAAAATATCCATTAACAAACTATAACTGTTTACTTTTTCTCCAAATAGGCTAAAAATTAAATAATACTTTGATATGTCCTAAATTTGTTTGAAAATCTTATCGGTAACATTTAATTGTGGAACATTTGTATTCTTAAGATATACACGATGGCTATGATAAAAAATACAAATTTTCATGTAGGCCTAATAAAAAACACAAAACCTCACAACAAACTGATCTATGACCTAAACTTAATATAATATAGAGACAGGCGGTAAAATTGTACCTTAAGTCCTCGATTCTGCTAATCAAAATAATTCCAGAAACTACAAAAGAACAATATTGCACTCAAAAATACCGTGTTAATAAGATCTACACAATATCTAAAGGCTACATATACTAACAAACACACAGTATAGCTTTTTACCCAAATAAAATGTAAGAAACATTTAAATACATAAGCTGATTACACTACAAATGCACCATCAGTTAACAGCATGCATAACTTAACACTGACACATAACAATACATCATAAAACACTAAAAAGAGCTCCAAGGTTATCTTCAGGCACTGTTAGTTCAAACACAATAATCTAAAACAAAAATAAAAATCCTCCCCTGTTTCAGGTATGAGGGGCTGAGGACTACTGGAAGCTATGATCTAGCATAAAGAGAGTAAGGATGAATGACCATCCCTTTGGTTCAAGTTCAATGAAAAGACCCTCTTTTGTAAGCTTTTTGACCCAGCTTCTTTTAAATGGCAAGCCTACCCTGTGATATACAGACTATGGTACCTGATTAGAGTTTAAATCAGTCTTAAATGTTACAACAGTTTACATAACTCATTCTTTAATGGAATATACTTGTATTTACATTAATAGTATTATTGGGAAGGGGGGCATCAAATTAAAGTGATAACGTTCTCAAATCAATACTTAAGTAATTTCAAATGTACTCAAATTATGTTAGTCAAATGTTTGTTGCTCAGATAATTTCATAAAAAAAAATGAAATCAAAGTGTTTAACTTGTAGCTAAATTAGACCCAGTCCTTTATTTATTTGGTTGTATGATATCAATATAATTTTACAAAGAGCTTGAAAAAAATAGACTGTAAGATTTAATTCAAGGCTTAATTTAAGGTAGCCTACCCCTTTCAACATCTCCCGTAGGCTACGTCTCTGGTAGGCTATTAAGTATAAAAAATTCCTACTATCTTGGGTTTAGTAATATATTGGTGACAATCCGTACAATAAATATAGTTTCAAGTTTTTTAACCATTTAACTTATAAAAGGCATAGAAGTAATTTCACAAACAGTTTACGGAACTACATTTTCTATTCAATAAAAATTTTGTGGTTATTTATTATCAAGCTAATACGGTAGTACTCATGATGGGACTGTTATAATTTTTTTATTTTGAGGTCCCTAGAGGCCAAAAATACAATCCGTTCAAATTCATATAGCCTATATATATAGGTACCTATCTAACTAATATTATAAATGTGAAAGTTTGTAGGCCTATATATATATATAGGCCTATCATATATTAGTCCATTAGCACGAAAAGTTTAACTCAAGCAAAAATTATCCGATTTAGATTATATTTTGTATAAACGTGTTTTTTAAATCTAAATTTATTCAAACGATTTTTGGCCAAAAAAACATAAAATTTGTCAATTTATTTCCAAACCATTTTGTAGAGCTTATAGAACAAATAATTTAGTGTGTTGAAGCATTACTATGCGCCTAATGGTTAAGGAGAAAATTCCAAAAGATTGTAAATTTAAAATTCCCATGTTATTCTTATGGAAAATGCATTTATTTTATACTGTACTTAGGCTATTATTAATATTCTAGGCCTACAACAAAACAAAACTTCTCCTTGACCGAGACCAGCAGAGCCGGATAGGTTGCGTCAATTTTCTATTTACACTATATACATAAAAACTTCCATAGATTGAAGATGAACTATATTAAAAGTACTTTGGCGGTGGATGATTTTGCCGCAGGCTTATTGACTTAAAGTTTCTCATTAAAATGGTCTTGAAGGCTGTAGTATGGTTTCTCCCTCAACAAGTTTTTCAGGGCTGTACGAAAGGCCGTTTCCCCTTGGTTTTTGATTGACGTAGGCAGCTGGTTTTAAATCTTCAGGGCAAGCGTTGGGAAAGAGTTTTTGGTTTTAGACAGCCGGCAGAAAGATATGTCCAGGTCGGAGCGATGTATTGTACCATGGCTATGAACAGTATTTCTTGTAGGGAATTTATGTAGGTTTGCCTTCACATGGTCGGCTGACAAAAAAATGTAATGACTGACAATAGTTAAAATACCGGTGCTGACAAACAGAATGGTCATTTCTTTTACTAGAAGTTAAAATACGTAGGTACTGCTTTCTTCTACAACTTGAGAATTTCATGACATGATGGTGCATGGCCCCAGAGAAGGAGACCATAGCTTAAAAACTATGGAACAGAGCGTGGTACACTATAATCAAATAAGGTTTACTGACAAACCTAGTCAACTTCCGAAGT